TGTTGTGGGTGTTGCATTATACATCACATTTCTGAAGGTTAATGCTCTCACCCCCACCACCCCTGTCCCCCCTCCCTCACCTTTCTGTCACTGAAGAAGCTACTATAAAATTTCTCCATTCTCCTTTTTACAGGATAGATGTTGTGGCATGGGACTCGAGTTGTAGAATAAAAAGTAGGTTGGGGCTGAATCCCACTCTAAAGTGAGTTTGGAAGGATTTGAAAAAGTTTCTGATTAGCCAGACTTCCTTCTCCAGGGACCTTAAAATGACTGCTTTGTGTTTCAGGTCTGCCTCAGTCTTTGGGTCTTAATGACAGTGCTTTTATTAAAGTCTTCCTCCTTACTAGAAGTTATAGGAATTTCCTGCCTGTATTTTGCGCTATCTCCTGGAGATCAGTTAACGACTTAATGACACATAGTAGTATGGCATAGACTATGTAGTGGCTCCTTGCTGTAATACATATGACTGAGTGGTTGTGCCATTGCTTTTTCATTCAGAATAATGGTCTCTATTACTATCAGCTCTTTAATCTCTCAATGCAAACTCTTTTTCTTTGTCTCCCAGCAAGGCTTTAAATCAGCTTAGCTCTTTGCTCAGCTGGCTAGGCTAACTTCAGTTAGAGTCTTACTTGAAGCCGCTCCTATTATCCAGCCTAGGTATCCATCCCGGGGGGAAGAGAAAGGAAAGGAATAAGCATTTATATAGCACCTACTGTGTTCCGGGAACTACACTTAGTGCTTTACAACTTTTATCTCATTGGAACCTCATCATAGCTTTGTGAGGTGGGTATTATTTTATCTCCATTTTACGGTGGAGGGAATTGAGGCAAAGAAGTTAAATGACTTACCTGCCAAGGGTCACACAGCCAGCAAGTGTCTTAAGTTCAGTTTTGAACTTGGGTCTTCCTGACCCCAGACCAGCACTTCTGCCACTTAACTACCATGGGAGGAGATGTAGGTATGATGGAAGAATTTCACTAACATGATAAAATGTTCTGGTGAGGCTGAGGACACAAAGTAAATTTGGCAATAGCCAGTTGTTTCGGGATGATATTTTAGGTTTCTTTGTGAGAGGGTTTTTTGGGAGGGAAGGGGGTTGAAGGTTTGGGAAATTGTGCTTTTAACGCCAGTTTCTCTTTGAGTAAGCACAAATGGTATATCATAGATTGACTTATGTTTTTTTTTCTGTTTTGATTTGGGAAGTTTGTTTCTTTGCTGATCGTAAGAAAAGCCATTGTATCAGTGCATCTTTTGGCCCCTCAAAGCTTTTAATTGGAGGGATCCATCATGCATTTCTAGTAGTTATTGCCTGTAGATAGATGGCCTTACAAGATTCCAATTTTGACTTATGGAAGTGATGGGATAGTAGGAAAAATGAGAGAAATGGGTGCTAAGAGGGGGCTATGTGTAAATCAGGTAACGCAGTTGAGAATGAGTATGAATCCGCAAAGTATCTTACCAGTGTAAGGTACTTTGTTAAACCATTGTGGGGCATTTGTAACCGTAGTTTTTAATTATTTTATTATTTAAGTATTTCATAAGATCTGCAAATTCCTCATAGATCTGCACACTAGAATACCTTAGTACATGGTTCCATTAATTACTGTCTCCTCCCCACCCATTCATTTAGTGGCCAAACCATTGGCATACAGTAGGCATTTACTAAATATTTATTGGATGAATGAGTACAGAGATGAACAAGATAGTTATCTCTTGCCTTAAAGGAGTGTACAAACCTAATACGGAGAGTGAAGATACCTTGAACCTTAATAGATACAACACAAGGCAAAAGGTGATATTAACTTTATTAGAGAATAAACAGAGTAATGTCAAGTTTGAGAGAGAGAGAGAGAGAGAGAGAGAGAGAGAGAGAGAGAGAGAGAGAGATATCGCTTCTCACATGGAGTAGGGAAAGGAAAAATTTGGTAGCGAAGATAGTGTTCAAATTGGCCATTGGAAAAATGGTTGAGATTGAGAGAATATTGTAAGCAAAATCATGGAGGTGGGAAGCAAATGCTATGTTTGGGGGATAGTGAATTATCTAACTTGGTTAGATTGTGTGATGTATGAAAGCAAATAAGATTGAAAAAGTGATTTGGAGCAGGTTGCTGAGACCCTTGAATGTCTCACTAAGGAGGACTTGTGTTCAGTAGGGAATTGTTGAAAGTTTTTGAACAAAGGAATGTTATACTAGCAAGGAAAATAGAATACTGTCAGATTTCTTTCTTCTGCCCCATTTATCATTGAATTTGTTTAATATTCTTTTGTCTCCCAAATTTCCTCAGCAATTGGGATGTGTGTAATTTCACTGTAACTGTAGCAGTCTTAGAGAGATGAAGGTGTTTTGTGAATTCCTGTGATCACAGAGACTTCTTAATTCTTAAGATGAGGGGACTGTTTATAAAGTCAGCCATCCTAGGTTTGACCTCTTTATTCTTTTGTAAGTGAAGGAATGTCCACTTTTGCATTGACTTGTGGAATATACTCCTTCCACAGCTGAACCAAGTAAATGTTAGCATATATGTTTAGAATGTAACAGTTAACTCTTTCCTGTCATCGTTTGACATTTTGGGTGGTCCTCTTGCCCTTTTTATGTGAAAAGCAAAGATGAACACTGCAGCTGAGGCTAAAGGATCCAAATGGTCTGATTGCAGAGCTTTTCCTGGAGTCTCACTTTGGGCTCCTTACCTTGAACCATCCAACACTTTAATTTGTGAAAGATGTTGTACTCTTTTAATTAAGAAAAAAATTAAATTAGTTAAGAAATGGCCGTTGAACAGATTTACATGGTGTCTGCTCCTGTAAATTTCCCACAAAGTGAATTTCCCTTACATGCCTAATAAAATCTATTGGTCTTAGTTCAGACATGTTACTATTTAAATTTCCATCGTTGCATGGAAGAGCCTCATCTTCTTTTCCTTTCCAGCTGTTTAAACAAAGCAAAAAACCCCCCAAATTCCTAGCCAGCTTTTCAGATATCTATGTTGATGGGGACCAAGGATGGAATGGGTGAATAAAATCCATCCTTGATTTGTCTCGCTTCAGTTTTACCTAACATTTTTCTCTTTCCTATCTTACCTTTCCCTAGAGGTGCTAATCAGTACACTATTAAAGTTTGATTTCAATGCTGTACCTTCGGATGAAGGTGTTGATAGTGACACAGCCAAGTCACAGGCAGCAAGATAGAGGAAGCCATGTGGTGCAGTGGAAAGAATGGTGTGCACTTGGTGTTTGTTGAAGTTCAGAATTAAAAAAAAAAAAGAAAAAAGTGCTGAATTTTAGAGTCTCAGAATCTGGATTTGAATTGTTGTTCTCTGCCATTTATTACCTGTGTGATGAGGGGCAAGTTATTTAAATCTCTGTGGGACTCAATGTCAGTATCTGTGAACTGGAAGAATTAGAATAGATGACCTCTGAGGTTTTTTTCAGTACTAAATTTGTGTGATCTTATAAAGTGAGAGGAGAAATCCTTAATAATCCAAAAACAGAATTACAAGTCACTGAATATGGAGTTGACTATATTTTTGATTACTGACCCAATCTAGATTTATATCTCCAGCTAATCAGAGGTGTAAGAACTTCTCTAATTTTTCCAAGAATTATCCTTATATGATTGCTGGCTTTCTTTGGGATTGATTCTGTGTATATAAAGTAGTATGTTTACTGGCACTGTAGTTCAGTGCACTCAGACTGATGAACCAGGCAGGCTGAGTGATCTCCTGTCTTGTTTATACATATTTTAGCTACCAGAGATAATTCCAGTGACAGAAAAGCTTATGGGAGGTTTGTTACTAACCTTAGCACCTCTTTCAGGAAGGAAGAGTTGATGATTTGGGTCAGAACTGGAAGAGAGGTCAGTTTTATTTGGAGATAGGCTCAAATATCAAATTGGTTAGAGGCCAGATGTGTGTGTCTTGACTCTTGTGGGACATCCATAGGAGGTGGTTCCCCTTGGGCCAGTTGCCCAATGGTTTTTACTGGCTGGATCCTCCTCTTGGTAAGTTTGATTGTTGGGTAAATTTTTTAGGACTTGGAAACTTTCTGTACAAAAGCTTTAGACTTCTGGATATTGTGGTTTATTTCTTTGCCAATTCTATGTACATACTGACATTGGTGAAGGAATGAGGACACAGGCTTCTTCTATGGGATGCAAGTGAAAGAGATACGTGTGTTCTAGTTCAGACTGACAAGACCAGGCTTTGGATAGAAATCACATAGGAGGGAGATAAGGTGAATTGGAATAGGTGGGGGAAATGAAGCAAGTGAGGTAGGAATTTTCTTTCAATCTCAGTACCAGATGATGCAATGAAAACATGATTTGTTATGAAGAGAAATTTCATTTAATTCCTAAGGAAATTGTTTCCTTTAGAAGAAATTAAGTACTGCAGTGAGAAGGGCAGGCCATTTGGAGGATATGTGTACAAATCAGAGTAATGTAAAAGTACATCCATTAAACTGTACTTTGAAAACTAAAGAGATTAATTTGTAAAAAATTCCATTTAACAAAATTCCCCTGGGGTTACAAAGGACAATCATTCTCTTCAAATGGCTCCAGTGGCAGGAGACACTTGGATTGGGCTTTGTATCTGAATAGTTCAGATGAGGAAATTGGACTGTTTAGCCTAAGAAGCTTTGCTTTCCCCCCTTGGCTTCACCCTGTTTCTGATATGCTATAAAGCTGTTTATAAGATTGCAGGCGTGTCACCTGTTTCTGTTGGATTTCTGACAGTTGTTTTCATATCGGGATCTTTTTAAAGACAAATTTTTTTACACACAAACCCAGTTTTAAAAAAATCTTTAATGGATTAAATCTGTTCCAAGTAACTAGAAAAAGGTTGTATTATAACAGATAGTAAGAGATATTTTGTCCATAGCAGAACACATGGATGTGGCTAGAGTTTCCTTCTGTTTCTGTTGCCTTTATTTGGGAGGGACCTGGGAAGGAGTCATGGACTCTTATGCTTCATGGGTTTGTTTTTTCCTCTTTCCACCCCCCCCAGGAATGGCGTGAATGTGGAAGGGGCAACACACAAGCAGGTGGTGGATCTGATCCGAGCTGGTGAAAAGGAATTGATCTTGACAGTGTTATCTGTACCTCCTCATGAGGCAGATAACCTTGATCCCAGTGATGACTCATTGGGACAGTCCTTTTACGACTATACGGAAAAGCAAGCGGTGCCCATATCAGTCCCCACATATAAACATGTGGAGCAGAATGGCGAGAAGTTTGTGGTAAGTGTCAGCCTGACTTCATCTTCAAGCATCTATACCTCATTTTCCTCCATTTTGTTGTTTTTGATGTTCTTAGAACAACAATATGTAATATCTGTCTCGGACATATGTTGGTTTCCTTCTAAGAAAGTGGTACCTACTGAAGTAATAGACCTTGAGTAGTCAGGTTTGCTGTTATTGGGAGTATTTCAGTAGACAGGCAGAGAATAATTCTCTCTCTCTGTCTCTCTCTCTGTCTCTGTGTGTGTGTGTGTGTGTGTGTGTGTGTGTGTGTGTGTGTGTCTCTCTCTCTCTCTCTGTAAGTATAATTCTGATTTTTTTCCTGTCCCAAATAGCTCTTAGCTTTCTTGTGTTCTGGTATTTCGTAAATATTTGTAGGATTTTAAAATTGGAATTTCTATTTACTTAAAAGTAGGCTTTCCCTTCCTCTTGTCTACAAGTGGGTAAAGCATGATCAGTTGAAAAAACAGTGGTATCCCTAGATTATCAAGGCAGTACAGCCCTAACTGTTTCAGAACTGCCATTTTGCTTCTTATCCTTCTAGTTTGAATAACCTCATCAAGTTTTCATTGTCTTCCTTTTGGCAATATGGGACTGCTAGTATTTAACACTGGGTTTTCTCAGAGTCCTGATTGCATTGTAAATGTAACACACATGAGTTATTTTATACATTTCCAATCTGTTGCTGTTCTTCCAGAGATGTAGAAAGCTCATCCCAAATCCTGGGTGATGTATTCAGTGCATTTCCTGGTGTCTTTGTTTGCTCTTAAAAATCTCATTGTCAGCGATAGCCTAATCTTCTTGATTTTTCTCTTGACTGCAATTATACTTTATTTACCCGTGATCAAAGGAAAGGGTAGTGTTAATGAGAAATATTCATTATTCTTTGTGGGAAATGCAGTGGGTTATGTTGTTTGCTGGCAAGCAGGCCACATACGTTTAAGAAGGCCTGATGGCTGTATTTGCATCTCAGCCTAGGAATCAACCATTTTGTGGGAATGAATCTATAGACTTTGGTGAATTTGTTCTGGTGACAGGGGTAGTAGTTCAAAATACAGTGAGAGAAATGACTTTATTCTTGGCAGAATTTTGTAGCTCAGTGAAATGTATTAACACATAGGTTCCATGGCAGTATGTTTTCCATGTTTTGCTGGGGCCACATGTTCAAAGTTTGGCTTTTTATGGAGTTTTATTCTTTACAAGTACTGCAGTTGGTTCAATCAGGAGATTTGTTACATTCTTGTTTTATGGTGATAAGACACAAGAAATCAAATTCTAGGTCAGGGAGACTTGGACAGAAACCAGAACCTTTGAGGATAAGCCTAGGATTTGGGGGATCTCTACTCAGAAAAGGTAACGGACTTGACATCTAAAAACAACCCGTTTTTGGTTAGTGGTGCCTGAGCAGTTGGTAATGCTTAATCCTGACTCGTTGTTCCTATTGACTATAGAAGTAATATGGTTTCATTCATTCGCCATTTTAGGTTAGGGACCCAGGTTGCTTGAAAATATGTTCTTGGTCTCATTCTCTCATCCTTTTAAGTTCTCAAGGAGCTTTTAGCAAGATATGCTAAGAACTAATTTCGTGGAGTTTTCCCCAAAGCATCTGATAACCTCATCTTGTGTTGTCCTTACAATCACTTTGTGAATGGCAGCCTAGAGAAGCAGAAGTGTCAACAGGAAGGCCAGTTTTCAGCCCTTTAGTGGATTTTGTGGCTTTTACAGTCATGTGGCATTGGGAATGGTTTTGCTGGTCATCAGGCACATGCAACTGTCGTTCAGACCGGCAGAGGGTCCATTTGGGTGCCAGATAAAGCTTGGAGGCTGTTGCTATGACAGAGCTCCAGTTTTCTCTACCTTCTCTTGGTTATTTAGACTTGAGAGGGACTTGTCTTGCACTGTGTGTCCAGGAGTGTCATTGGCCTTTAGGGAGAGTAAAACATTCTAAGCGTCTCCCACCTAGAAGCTAAGAAAGAAATCTGAAAACAACAACTTTAGAAATTTCGAGAGCCAGTGTTTGAGATTGGAGGGAGAAGCCTGATAGATACTTCTGGGATCTTGCTTCTTTCTGCCACTGGTTTGCGCTCCTTCTAGGCAGTTGTCAGTCACCATCTCCTGGCTTTCATCCCCTAGAACTATGTCATGGGGGTGGGGAAGGGAAATGGCACAGCATGAACCTTCACTATTTAGACATTGAGAAATTCACAAATCATTTTGAAGCTGAAAACTGAAACTCTTGCCTTATAGACTACAGGAAGAAAGATTTAAAAATAGACCCACTGACCAGATCAGTTTTTCCTTGCCTCCACCCATATATTCCCTTCTCGCTTCTTGGTGTTCCTTACAGCAGGTAGGGAATCAGGCATGCTGACAATTTTCAGCCTCAGGCAGTTGGCCCACTAGCCTGTGTCAGCGTGATGGTTCTGGTAGAGAAAGTTAGATGGTCTTAACAAAGGAAAGGGAAGATGAGCAGTGGTCACTGACTGACTGTATTAGTAATGCTCTCAGGCTGAAGACCGAGCTGAACTGAACAAGTCCCGAAAGTACTGCCTGCCTCTCTTGATCTCTTAGTATGCAGTGATGAATTAGCTCACATTAAATCATTTTCCCTCTTCCTGTCCAGAGATGGGAAGTATTTTCCTGTGGAGACTATGACACGTAGGCCTATTGTCAGTGGCCCTAAACAGAAACTTAGTGAATTAGTCACTTTTGTAGATGAGTGTGTAAACGTTAAGTGAATGATTAGGGCTGGTTCTTCATTTTAAGGACTAGAGAAGAAAATAGGCATTGTAATGACTCTCTTGCATATATGTTCTTCCCTTATTAAACAGTTCATTTTAAGGATCATTAGATATTTTTAAAAATTGTTTGGATTTTAGCAGAACTCAACCTACCTGCCGTAAAACATTCATATCAGCTTTCCCTACATCTGCTGGTGCTTTTGCTCTTAACCTCATTATCTGAGGGGATTAGAACATGATAAAGAGATTATTGGATCTGAAACTTTAACATTTGTGAAAATAACAAACTTATTTCATTTGGGAGCTTCCGTATCACATTGTTTTATGAATATCTAAAGTTATAGGTCTTGCATCTTTTAAGAAATGTCTTGTTGGCGTTGAAAGATGAATCCGAGTTGCCCTCCAGGTATATCCTGGTGTATCTGACCTCAAGGAGGGCTAAATTAAGAGAATTGAAGAGTGTAGAGGAAGCTCAAACTCAGAAGACCTCCTACTTTAAGGTCACTGAAAAGGTTAAAGATGTCTTTGAGCCAGGAATATTACTAGCTCAGGGGTGGGGAACCTTCTAGGTCCTTGAGTGCTGCTTTTTGACTGAATCCAAGTTTTACAGAACACATCCTTTTATTAAGGGGATTTGTTCTGTGAAGTTTGGATTCAGTCAAAAAGCCACACCCAAGGATCTCGAGGCCCGCAGGTTCCCCACCCCTGTACTAGCTAGTTTGATGTCTCCTTTTTTCTTCTTTTCATGAGAAACTCTATGAACAGTGTTAGTAGAATTTTGTGCTTTTAAAGCACATGAAGAGCTAAGTTACTGAGAATGTTCAGAATGTAGCCTCAGGCTGACAGTTTGGAAAGAGAAGTCTTATGGCTAATGATTGGTTGGACCAGATGTCTTCAGAGTCCCTATAAAAAGGGCAGGTACTACCAACCCAAGGGAAGACTGTTTCCCTTTCCTTAGCCCATCACTCTTCCCATGAACATTCTTAAGAGGCATTGAAAAACACTTGTGGCAAGGATGTAAAAGGATTATACCCTGAACCTGTAGGCCAAAAATAAGGGACATATTACTTTGACCTGTAATTTAGGGTAAAAATAAAAGGAAAAAATTTTATTGGTAGCTCTCATAGTTGTCCTTAGCAATCTTCTGTTAGTGTTGATTTTTTTTTTTTTTTGGAAAGGGAAATGGATGGATGGATGGATAGATGGATGAAATAAGCATTTATTAAGCACCTACTATGTGCCAGGTCCTTGTGCTAAGCACTTAACAAATATATTATTTGATCTTGACGACAACAACCCTGGAAGGTAGATGCTGTTATTATCCCTGTTTTATAGATGAGGAAGTTGAAACAGAGGTGAAGTGACTTAACTAGGTTCACATAGCTAGTAAGTACTGAATTTGAACTCTTGTCTTCTGACCCTAGGCCCAGAATTCTATCCACTGAGCCACCTAAACCATATGGTATAATGGGGCCTCTAGGTGGCACAGTGGTCAGAGTATAGTGTTTGGAGTTAGAGGACCTGAGTTTGAATACTATCTCCAAGACTTATTAGCTGTGTGACCCTGGACACACTTAACTATTCTGTGCTTCAGTTTCTTCCTCTGTAAAATGAGGATAATGATAATAGCTCCTGCCCCTCAGAGTTGTTTATATAAAATGCTTTGCAAACCTTACTCGCTATTATTAGTGAGGGGAATATGGTGCAATGATTATCTTTGTATTCAGTGCTTTTTTTGTTGTTTTGAAAGGCAGTGTTGCTTGAAGTCTTTTTTTCATCCTCTGATGTTTTGCAAATCAAAGCAGAGCTTGTACTTTTACCGTGGTTTTCACTCTAAATTGATATGGCCTTGGCCGTCGGGTATTTCTGGTCGCCAAGGGCATTAAGTATTTGTTGGCTGAATCTGTTTGTTTCTAGGTTCTTTGTCTCCTCATTGTGGTGACGGCTTAATAGATGGAAAATTTCTCTAAGAAAAATTATAGGGAAAGTCATTGTCTTTTGTACATTTTTCCAAAAATTTTAATCAGAATCTTTTTGAGACTGATGATGGTGGAGGTATCTTTTTCTCATTTATTCATTCTCCTAATTTGGTAATACTTTGCTTTTCTGGCTAGTTGTTGAACAGATTGTATTTAGACAACTGATATCGAAATGGCTTCTGTGTCTTTGTTATAGAATCATTTTTGTTTTTTATGATCTTATTACATCTAGTGCTTTCTTACTCTTGGAAAAAAACATTTGTCAGGCCAACTACCAGTT